TCCCTAAAGTGCTACGTCGGTTAGGGTTTATAGGTATTTTAATTTTTTCACTAGTTTTTCTATGAGTTACATATATATTTTTGACTTGTGAACTTGTACCATTGGATTCATTGATATGAATACTATTGAATTAATTGGTTTTAGTATAAAATTTAAAAACTTATATAAAATCATCCCCAAAGTGTTACGTTGGTTAGAGTTTATAGGTTTTTTAATTTTTTTCACTAAGTTTTTAGACTAAGTTTTTCCAATGATGTTATGACTTGGTGTTAGGGTATGGCTATGGTAAGAGCTAGTGTTAGTGCAAGGGCATGTTTAGGGTTAGGGTTAGGGCATGGTTAGTGTTAGGGTCATGGTTAGGGTTAGGGTTAGCTAGGGTTACATGTAGGGTTAGCATTGGATTCTTAACCCCTCTTAGTAAAGCATTGATGACACCACTATGTAAAGCAGTGATTCTTGACACATCTGAGACACAACATTCATGACACCATTGTATAAAGAAGTGATTCCTGACACGTCTGAGACATAACATTCATGACACCACTACGTAAAGCAGTGGTTCCTGACACGTTTAAAACACAACATTCATGACAACACTGTGTAAAGCAGTGATTCCTGACACGTTTGAGACACAACATTCATGACACCTTGTGTAATGATTGTCTTGCCCCTCATCTAAGCCATTAAGATTCAATTGTGACTATAGCCATTAAGGTTCCGTTAGCAATATGAACATTATCAATGTAACCGTTCATGACCGTTCACAACTTGTCGTTAAGGGAATACAATGTTACCATTTATAAATAGCTCCTCATCCCTTCATTTTCTTCATTCACCTTCTAAGCTTGTTCCTTCGTTCATCCCCTTCTAACCTCATCCCCTCAATCATGTTCTTCATTCCCTTTCTTGAATCAAAAAATGTCTTCTTCAATCTATATATCATTGTTCACTTAGATGGTTCTATTAACCAATGTCCTAATGAAGGAGTCACCTTCACCTCCCCATTAGCAAAATTAGTTCGTATAAAGAGAGGAATAACTCTAAAAAGGCTCTAGAAAATCATCCACACAAAACTAAATCGACACAATAATGAAAGGGTGGCTACCATACATTTCTGCTACTCTATTAGACTTTGGCCCATGGGTTAGTAACTACACTTGTGTTGAATGATGACGAAGATGTCGAGGTACTTTTCGATGTTCATGATTCTAATAAACTTCAATCAGGTATTGAATTATATGCTACCTTTGCTACAAATGAATCGCATTCACCACAACTTTCACCTTACCAAATTTACCAAACTTACCAAAACACAAACCCTTCTGGTCCTTCGTATGATATTCCCTCTGAATACGACATTCAGTCCTACACACAACTTTTAACTAGTCCATTCATGGACCTCAATGAAATACCATCCCAACCATTTGAACAAATTATACCCTCTCAGCCAGATGTACAAAACACCATTGAAGAACATGTTGTTGTTGGTCTCCCAACAAAAAATGTCTTTGATCCTTTTAGCGAGGATGAAGACTAAATCCTCTCCCAACATGATGATGATGAAGAAGACTCCCTCCCACTTCCAAATATTCCACCACTAGAACCATTAGCCATATACAACCCACCTACACATTTTCTAGACATCCCCAATCAAATCCAAGAACATGATCTTGAATTTAGCCATGTCCTTGATCATGAAATGGTTGTGTATCCGCCTGGAACACTCTTTGTTGGGCAATGCTTCCAAACAAAAGAACAAGTGCAAGACACCATAAAATAGATTTCACATTGTGAATCACTGCACTTACAAGGTTAAGATGTCAAGTACAACTAGGCTTGTCATAAAATGCGTTCATCATGACTATAACTGGAGATGTCGTGCTATATTGCGCACCAAAGAGCAACACTGGAAAATCATGAAGTTTGAAGGCCTCCACACATGTGTTTCCCCACTCATATCACAAGATTATAATAAATTGGGATCACGAATGATTTCTCAAACCATTTGTGAAACTATTGAGGCTGATCCATCCACATCTATCTCAACCATCATAGCCCACATCAAGTCCACGATGGGTTACACAATCAACTACATAAAAGGATGGCTGGGAAAGCAACATGCCACTGAAAACATCTTTGGAAACTAGGAGGAGTCAAACCACAAGTTACCAACTATGTTGCAAGCAATGCAAATTATGTTTCGGGCTTCATCTGGAAATTAAATACACAACTGGCATACCAAGGTGGCTTATTGGACGAGGGGAGTGTTTTCTTCAAGAGGTTATTTTGGACCTTCAAGCCATGCATTGATGGTTTTGCCTTCTGCAAACCAATCATTCAAGTGGATGGAACATTTTATACGACAAATACAAAGGGACATTATTGGTGGCAGTTGCACAAGACGGACGCAACAACATAATTCCCATTGTGTTTGCTATTGTTGAACGTGAAACAAGCGATGCATGATTCTTTTTCCTAAAAAACTTAAAGAAGTATGTAGCACCGCAAGAAGGATTGTGTCTCATTTCAGATTGTCACAAGGCTATTAGAAGTGTATACACCAGAAATGAAAGTGGTTAAAAATAAATGTTTTCTGTCCATGTCTATTGCATTAGACACATTGCATAAAACTTCATGTGACGATTAAAACTGCGACACTCAAGAAGGATGTTGTCAACATAGGTAATTTTTTTTCCTGTAGTCTATATTATCATTAATATTTTTTAAAACTATTTTACTTAATTTTCATAATTTAATTTATAATATTTTTTGCAACATATGGGATGACTGAACCTAAATTCTTTTACTATTACAACATAGTAAAAGATAAAAATGTTGAAACAACACAATGGTTGGACAACATCCCAAGAAAAAAAATGGACGATGGCATGGGACTAGGCATGGCAATCTAACCCACCCCGTGGGTACTCGCCCGAACTTGCCCCGATTTGGATGGGGAAAACCCGTGTTTATCGGGTTTGGGTTCGGGTTCGAGTTTTTCCCGATTCATAAAATTGGGGGCAGGGGCGGGGGCGGGGTGCGCCCCGCTTAATAATATAATTAAAAAATTATTTTTATAAATATATAAACCAAAATTATAAATATTTATATGTAAAAATTTATATTATTTTACTTTTCTTTTATTTATTTTTTTAAATTGTTCATATTTATTTAAAAGAAAAAAGAAGAAAAAAATAGGAGCGGGGACGAGGGCGGGGCGGGAAAACCCAAACCCCGCTGGGGGCGGGGATTGGGACCTAGATTTTATCCCTAGCAGGTATCGGGGGCGGTTTAAATTTGCGGGGGCAGGGGCGGGTGCCTACATGGGACAATGGATGACGTTGAGGACACATGACAACAAATCTAGCAGAGTCTATTAATTCAGTCTTGAAGAAAATAAGAAACTTGCCAATTTGTTCCATAGTAATGGCGACATATACCCGTTGCAACAAGTTCTTCATTGAGAAAGACAGGGATGTGGATGCAATAATTAATGTTGGACATGTTTACTCAGAGATTGCAACTAAAACTATTCAAAATGAACAATCAAAGGCAAACACTCATAGAGTCATCACCTTTGACAAAACAAGCACTAGATTTTTAGTGGAAGAAACGCAATATCTGAGAGAAGTTCGAATCGTTGGGAGATTTACAGTAAGACTAGATGAGATGTGGTGTGATTGTGACAAGTTTCAGAAAGTTCAGATTCCTTACTCGCATGTACAGATGTACTTGCTTCATGCTTACATGCACGTCACAACTTCGAAAGTTACATATCTCTCATTTATATCTTACAACAAATTTTAAAGGTATACAAAGAACAGTTCGGAGAGCTCAGACACAACGATTATTGGCCAACTTACACTGGCCAAACTTTGTGGTCAAATATGAAATTGAAGAGAACTTCTAAAGGTCGGCCCAAGTCCAACATGATTAAAAAAGATATGGACATTAAAGAACAACATAATTGTATAAAAAATTGTTCATATTATCACACCCTTGGTCACATTAGGAAGACATGTCTAAATATTAGTCATGCATTTAGTTCCCATCACCATTGATTGTTGTAGTGAGTTTTAAGTTTGATAAATGTCATTGTTTAATTTTATAAATGTCATTGGAACTTCACAAATTTTTACTATTCCTTAATTATTTTCATTTAGTACACATTTTAAATTAAAAATAATTTTAAAATTTAATATAAACAAATATATTTAATATTAACTAACTTATTAAATTTTATCAATTCTATTACAAAATAAATTATATAAACATAAAGTTATTTTCATTTTTATTTAATTTATAACAATATTATTTTTCATCTTCTAACTTATAAAAATTTACATAAAAATATAAGTTTTATAAACACAATAATATTATTTTTCATTTATATTTATCTTATTAAAATATTATTTTTCATCTTCTAATATTTAACTTATACAAATAATATAAAGAAAATACATAACTATTTTTTTATAATACATTTTTACACATTTTAATATTTAATTTTTATATATTTATATATTAAAAATAGAAAATATGAAACAAAACAAAAAAAGTTAAATCTCGCACAGAAATCAAATTCCGGGTGACCGAATTTTGGCAGGGAAAATCCCACAACAATAAACAAGTTTATTGTGAGAAATGTATTGAGGGAGTCTATTTTTGTAAAAGAATTTTAAAAAAATTCCATAACTTCTTATTATTTTGTAAAATTAACACCATAAATTTTAAACTGCGATTTAAAGAAAAATATCATAATAAATTCACACAACTAGAAACCAAAATAAAGACATCATTATGAAACAAATTACTTCTTATTATAAAATTGTAGGCTAAATTACATTTATTCTCTTAAAATAAAAATCCGCAAAGGAATAGACCGCAAATAATCTTATGTTAAAATTTTGGTGATGTAATTGTAATTATGATGGATAAAAAAAATTAATAAAATCATATATCATGTTTATCTTAAGGCAAAGACCCTTCATCTACCCTAATCAATCGTATTACAAATTTCGTTTTCCCACTTTGAACATAAAATTCAGCGGGGGTTTGTGACTAAGGCATTACTTCAAATTTTGAGGTCTCTGCATTCGCATTCCTTAACGAACGACAACAACAACCTTGTATGGAGCTAAGTTGCAACACCATCGCATGTTTTTGAGTTTACCGTCACCATCACCACTGTTTTCCAACATGTCAAAGCAAAAGGAGAACACGGAAAGGAGCGTGAGCAAAGCCAAAAGGGCACATCCATTGGCGGAAGCAGTGGAAGACATCGAAGACGCACTATCCTTCTCCAAAGACGAGACTCGCAAACTGAGAGTGTCTCTTTTGGATTGGTACGATCTCAACCGCAGGGAACTACCTTGGAGAACACAACACCTTGAACAAGAAAAGGAAGAAGAAGTTGAAAGAAGAGCTTATGGGGTGTGGGTTTCCGAGGTTATGCTTCAGCAAACAAGGGTTCAGACTGTTATTGCCTATTACAACCGTTGGATGCAAAAATGGCCCACCATTCACCATCTTGCACAAGCTTCTCTTGAGGTTTCCTTTGCCTTTTCCACTCCCCATTTTCACGTTTCTTGTAAAAGATGTTTTTTTTTTCAATGTATAATTTATGGGTAGTTAAGAAACCCGTGGACATCATTGCAACTGTTCTGTGAATCTGCTGTCAAGTTGCTATTTTGTGGGAGTCATGAAAATTAAAAAATATTGTTTATACTTTGATGTTAACAAGTCATGAACTTTAGGGCTGATGATTTGATGCCATGGTTTCACTTCCTAGTTGATAGTTTGTGAAGTTTGATTAATGTTTTTTAAACAAAATATGACAAGTTATTAATGCTTCAAGATGATGGATCTTTGTTTCAATTATCGTTGCTCCGAGCCAGGGTTTTCATAAGAAGGAAAGGGAATTTTTGGATTACAGTTTTGCAATCAAGGTTGTTGATGGTCTTTGAAGGTAGAATGGGCTAAACTAGGGTTTGAGCACGCGGAAGTTTCCAGGACATATAGGAATATCTCTGTAACCCTGTGTGCTTTGGAGCTTGTTTAGATATAAGTTAGAAGTACTTCTAAGAGTTTCTCTATTAGAAAAAACTCTTTATTTAAAGTAGAGAAATTCTCAAAAGTTTTTCTAAGCTTGTATCCAAACAGGTTCTTGGACTAGTATAGATAGCAATAGCAGATTATTTCTTTTGATTCCTTTGCTTTCTATGTGTGCATGTGTTTAAAAGCAGTGGTTGTAATTTGTAGACTAATTGTATCTCACCATGTGATTGTTGCCATTTTGTGCAGGAAGTAAATGAGATGTGGGCAGGTTTGGGCTACTACCGAAGAGCTCGTTTTCTTCTAGAGGTGTTCTATCGTGACAACATTATTTTCATCTTCTGTTGTTTATCTTTTACTACCCTCTATAAGTCTCCCTGATGACTAGTTGGAAATTGTTTTTAAAATTGTTATAATGGTGTTAAACCTTCTTCACTTTATTTTTTTCATCCTCCTTAGTAAAAGGAGCAAAACACGGAGAAAATAATACATGCATCAAATTCTCATAATAATTCATATAATGGATATTGCCAAACATAGAGTATTAGAAGCTTCTTCTTCATGTCAAGATCTTCGATGTCTTATTGATCAACTTTGTTTCTGTGTTTGATCAATGTTAAAAAATCCTCAATCTTGTGTTATATAATGAGAATGTAAGTCCTACTTAAAAAGAAAGTAGCGAAGACAGATCAGTAAGAGATAATTAAGCTTTACCAGTACATGCTGAAGGTTTGAGTTTGACCAGGTTCTTTCCATTGTCAGGGGGCAAAGAAAATAGCTGCAGAAGGAGGCAAAATTCCTAATGTGGCTTCTATGCTACGAAAGATTCCTGGAATTGGAGACTACACATCTGGAGCAATTGCTTCTATTGCATTCAAAGAGGTGGGCAGTTTCTGCAATTTTGGTTCCAGAATTGTAACTATTGGCTATTGCTCATGCATTAAATTATCAGGTTGTACCTGTTGTTGATGGAAATGTTGTAAGGGTGATTGCTAGACTGAGGGCTGTTTCTGCAAATCCAAAAGACTCGGTAACCGTTAAGAGGTTTTGGTGAGTTCATGTCATCAAGAACAAATTATTCATCATTAATTGGAAAAACATTTTTTTCCTTATTATTATTATTATTATAATGATTTTGATATCTCAGTTCTCATCAAATGTGTTACCTGAATAAGAAACAATGGAAGAAAAAAAGTAGTTTTTTTAAGTGTCAAATTAGCACATCTACTGAAGAAAATAGCAGTAGAGACCACTTTGAGCCTATCATGTTGATTAGAAAAGCCTTTCTAATTTTTTCTTGCCTTATGCACAAGTAATGGGGAGGCACATGCATGACATGAATAATTGAAAAGAGTGGGAGCTTTTAGTTTCTTCTCTGACATGATGTGTCTCTCTATATGAGGTGTATTTTTAAATTGGTTGCTCCTAAGGTACATATATAGGCTGTTAGTAAAACATAATTTTACTGATTTCTTGTTGGCACAATTTATTCATTTTATAATCAAGCTTGTATTTCTTGTCATTTACTTTTTTTACTGTTGTGGGTTGGAATGGAGATTAAGGAAATTAGCTGCTCAGTTGGTTGATCCTGTTCGTCCTGGGGACTTCAATCAGGCTCTCATGGAACTTGGGGCAACTGTATGCACCCCTTTGAACCCGAGCTGTTCCTCTTGTCCAGCGTCAGAATTTTGTCAAGCACTATCAATGGCTAAAAATGATAGTACTGTAGCAGTTACAGATTATCCTGTTAAGGGTGTGAAGGTTAAACAAAGAAGTGATTTTTCCGCTGTATGTGTGGTTGAATTAATTGGAACTGAAAGATTGTTGGATAAAATCCAGTCTAGCAGCAAATTTATTCTTGTCAAAAGACCTGAAGAAGGATTGCTTGCTGGTCTCTGGGAGTTTCCATCTGTCTCACTTGATGGAGAAACAGTTCCAACAGCTAGAAGAGAAGCAATGGATTGCTTCTTGAAAAAGAATCTCAAAATTGACATCAGAAAGACTTGCAATATAGTTTTGAGGGAAGATATTGGGGATTTTGTTCATATTTTCAGCCACATTCGCCTCAAGTTGTATGTTGAATTGCTGGTGTTACAATTGAAAGGTGCAATCCTTTTTTTCTATGTCTGTTTGGTTTCTTCAGATCACATATACTTACGTAGGTTATTATGGGCATTTGTAATATATTATCATTATTGAACTACAATTAGCTAAAAAGGCCATGACCAACCAGGGTATAGCCAAAAGTTCCTTGCATCTTAATGAATGACAATGGACATGCTAGTATGCTGCTATTATTTATTGATTCTCTCTAACTCTTCCTAGTGATAATTTATGTTAGTCATAAATAATACAGCTCATTGTCAATGTGACACAGTTACTGCTTCTGAAATTTTATTCAGTCGGCAACTATTTTTGTAGTTTAATATCATGAATTCGTCTAGTATGTGAGATTCTGTGGTTTGAAGAAGACTTAAAAAGTGTTCTGCATGGCCTGTGGATTAATTAATGTGCATGAAAATGAATACAATGATCACATTGTACACACTAAGGCTACTCCTTTTTGTACTAATGTTAATTTTTTCTTGTAGAAGGAGGAGTAGATGATTTGATCAAAAGCCCGGACAATAAAACTACAACTTGGAAGTGTGTTTACAGTAATGCGCTTTCTAGTATGGGACTGACGAGCAGTGTAAGAAAGGTTGTATTCTGCACTTAGCAACCTCACTTAATCTGTTAATCCTTTTCTCACTTGAAACATTTATAAATACGTGACAAGTGTGTGATGACTTTTATAGGAGTTCAACTTGGCTGGCATGCAGCATACCCTCACAACAAACAAAATTTCTACCCTCTTGAAAAGCTTTGAAATAGCCATGTGAAACACAATTGACATGAATGACTACTGTTGTGTGTCCACATTGACTGACCTCTGATTTGAAATTGAATCCGTTAAAATTGCATTTTGCACTAAGTGTCTTAACATTATAAGTTAGAAAGCATTTAATCATTCTGTTTATTTTATGCTGTTTATAAGATAATTCATTATGCCAAAGTTTTAGATTCTATGGATTTAAGGATAAAATTCGAAGTTTCTTTTTTATTTTGAAACCATAATTTGTTATCTTACTGCTGCAGGTGTACAACATGGTTGAAAACTTTAAGCAGAAAAGTCTTCCTTTTAACCACTTTCCAACCAAAAAGAGAACTAGAACGACGAAGAGAAACTAGCCTAGTGAATCAGATTTGCTACATTATGCTTACTACTTTCTGTAATTAAATGGAAAAACGGTGCAATAGTTGCATTTTATTCTTAGTAGACTGCATTGTTAATTGTTTAAGGTTTTTTCCTTTTGATATGGAAAGTATAGCAATCCGAGAGAGTAATAATATTCTGATACTCAAATATTTTAAATACTTAAATGTTCTGCATTTATCTCAATTTCTTACATTTTATCACATCATACACCTATTACATCTATTAGTTCTATGTTTTATTTTTTTTTCTCTTTTCAGGTGTATATTAGCTCATACAGTTTACAAGAGATATTTCCCGTCTTGAATATCCTATCTATACTGGTATCTTTCTGCGTAAATTTATTACCTTTCAAAAAGAAAATTTGAGAATCGAACTTAAATTATAGTCGTTGTGAGCAAAAGACTCGACTTGATATGTCAGCCTCTTTTGGTAACAATCATTTACAAGAATGATAATCAAAATAATTTGACCCACTATAAATAAAAAAAAGCAGTTTTTATTTTCTCTTTCCTTCGTTTTTTGCCTCATTATTTTTCATTTATAAATTTATTAAATAAAAATGATTTAATTCTAAGCATTTCACAAATAATTATAACCTAAATTGTTATATTTAATTTATTAAAAAAATGTAACTTGAACTCAAAGAAGGAAGCATTTTAATATCCTCATTTTTATTATCAAAGTTATATTCAACATTAAATTGTACTTTTTTTTTAATTTAATTTTTGTAATCTGGTTAAAATTTACGTGAAGGATTCTCCTCCACAATAGTATCCTAAAGGACCTAAACTAAGTTGAAAGTAAGGTTAACATGTGTACCCAAGAAAATACATTATAGGATTTTCCTCGTTATATTTTACCCTTTTTTAGCGAAAAAACATCAGAAAGGGGTGAGAAATTTATCGGAGAAGCGTGTACGAGAAAATAAATACTAAGAAAACTAGCAGCTGAACTCTTTGATTTGTCCTTAGCAATTTTATTATGTACGGTTGAAACTCGTTCACAGATTCATCGGAACTAGTGGTGACTATTTCTGTCACTCCTTGTTTTGTACTCTAGTGTTCCTAGATTGTATATTTATTTATTTATTCTTAAATAGATAGATAGAAGAAAAGGCATCAAAACCAGTGGTACATATTATCTCAAGCACCATGTGGATCAGAGGGTTCTTTCATTTTGTTCCTCCCACGCATATTTTTCACTAAAACCATTAACAAACCAGTGACAGAAAAAAAAATGGTTGGTGACTAAATAGAAAAAAAAAAAAAATAAGAGAACACAATCAAAGCACTAAGAGTGGAAGAATGCAAATGGCAATTTTGTTAAGGGGAGGAGCACTTGGAGATTCTACCTTTCGTTTGTGTTCATTACCATCAACTTCTTCTTTGCATGTCTCCCAGAATGTTGCCATACCCACCTCATCATCATCACCAATACTACCTTTGGTATGTTTATCTATCCTTTGATTATTCAGCTCCAACTAAAATAATTTATCGATGTTAAGCAATTCATTAAGAATTTTTTATTGCGATGTTATGTATTTCTCTTTTCACTCAATAGCCAACCAGTAGTTACATGAATTATTAGGATCAGTTTAGTAATGAAAAGATTTAGTATACATAAGTTCTTAGGTTAAACTTTGTTGTTGATGGTGTAATTCCTACTAAGAAAAAAAATGTAGTAACACTTTCAAAGTTCACTTGTTAGTAAGTGTTGGATTAGATCCTTCTAATGTAAACTGAACACTGGGATATTTCATTTACAGCAATAATTCTTGTTTTTTTTGGTTGAGGTAACCAAATGATGTGAAGTTTGTTTTGAATAATTGTTTTTCTTGTGTTGCAGATTGCAAGTAAATTTAAAACAGCCAGCAGAAACAGAATCACCTGCTCTGCTGTTCAAGAATCATCTCCTAGCACAGCAGGTGTGTTTCTGCATTAGCATAACAGAATGTTTTAATTGCCAAGAGTTTGGATTATTTAAAACAATTTTGCATATGGCTAATTGTGATTAGTCTAATTGAAACATGATTAGCTACTACTACTGAAACAAAGGAGGAGGTAAAGGAAGCTACAGAAGCTCCAAAAGCTGCACCAGCAAAGAAACCTCCTGCTAAAGCTCCAGTTAAGCCTCTGCCCCAGATGATGGAAGAGGATGTGATCCCTGCACTCAAAGAAATATTTGAAGCCCAAGAAGATTTCTCCAATATTGAGCTCATTTTCAAGGACAATAAGGTTAGTAAGTAGTAATGTAGATATATCATATATGCCACATTCATACTATTGTCTTTGTAATGATTCCAATATTCTCCATCCTTTACTGTCCTTCAAATTTCAGCCACTTTTGTGAGGCTTAGAAAACTTAATTTGACTCTTGTGAAGATGGAATTGGATCCTTATACATGGAGAAAACATAGTCTCCACTAGCATGACCCTTTTTGAATTATTCATCTTATAAAGCATTATAGGACAATTCATAACATTTGATTTGGAAATGACTCACAGTTGGAAGGTTCATTTTTGAAGAAAGGCAACCCCTATACATTTTGGGCATTCTTTCCCACAGGAAATGTCACTGGTATGTACATTTTTCGTTTTCTTGAGAAACTATACCACACTAACATTGAGTTATATGCAATTGTAAACAAAAGTAAGCATCATTTGTGTGTTTCCCTTGAACAGGTCCAAAGGGGTTTTCTTTGTCATCGTATAACGCAGGAGCAAGCACTGTCGAGCCATTTCTTATTGATGAAAAGAAGATTACAGCAAAACACATAATCTTCTGGGTTGAAAAACGTTTGGCAGCACAGGGGATCATTCCAGTATGGAAAGATTAATCTCTTAAAAAATGAAATTATACTTTGGTTGCTAATGATGTACAATACAATTCAATATTCTCTGCGTTCCTTTCATTAATGACTATGATATACATAGTAATTGTGTTGATCATTGTGTCAATGTAATAGAAAATTTAGTTCATCAATGCGCAGTCAGATCAATAATATAAAAAAATTTAAGTTTTTAGTTTATCAAATTTGTGATAAGTTTTTTTTAATGCTTCTCCAAATTTATCAACATATACGAAGTTATAATTTAACCATTAAGTAAAAAGAATTTACATTTAATATAGTTATTAAATGGTATAATAATTAATAAAAATTATACTAGTGTCATTTGAACCTTTCTCATATATAAATTAAATCTGTTTTATAAAATTAAAGTTTAAATCTGATCAATGATTTATCCTAAACTTCTTTTATAGGTCTAACTTGACATTTTTAAAAATTTGGTCCAACATATTATCTTATTAAAAGCCTATTTTGCATTAACAATATCAAATAGGCTAATAAATTTAAGTTTAAATAAGCCAACAATCAATCCCTCTAAATTAAACACAAACGTCTCTCGCATAAGAACGTTTTTAGTGATGACAATATGATTTTTAAGATTTTTTTAATTTATTATTTAATTTAGTTTTTATTTATCATAATTATTTATAAAAAATTTATATTTTTAAAACAAATTATCGATAAATCAACTCTTATATATAAAGTACAAATAATTTTCTTACCAAGAGTGACTTTAGGGACTTTTCTGTGAGGAGAAGATTTTTCGGGATTCTTTTAACTTCATATCTAATTCGATTTTTATTTATTACAATTATTTAAAAATTAAATATAATATTAAGTGTTGATAAAAATGAAGTATCAAATAATTTTTAATTTTTTTAAAATTTGCTGATTTAATCTATATATTAAGAACTTTTAATTCAATGATTGGATTGTTAAAATTTAATGTAAAATATGAATTATTGAGTAAAATAAATTTAAATAGACATACTTTTAAAGTAAATAGATCCCTCGTAAAAAAAAATATATATATATAGAGAGAGAAAGATAGAGAGAGAAGGGGAGGGGGGAGGGGGGG